CAAGAATATTCTTGGAGCTTCTATATATGTAACATTACATTATAATTACATCATTCAGTAGAATGTTCTAAACTGTTCCATAGCATGACAGTAGAAGGTTCTGGCACAAACACTGCATGACTTGACATTCTAGAAGTTTCCAGAAACTTAAATATTCACGTCTGCTCTTCATAACAAATTATTCTCGCATTTTGATTGTTTCTTACTTATGATCTTTCAGAGGACAGAATATAGACAACGTCATTAACATTTTTTGGTTCTTCATGATGTAAAATAGATTAAGATACCATGTTGCCATGTGTCTGTTCAGTAATAGATCAGAGAAGACATCAAAGTGTGGCAAGAGCATCAGTGGCACACTTACTTAATGGCCTGGGGGGGCGAACTCTCACACTAAAAGGACCAGGGGATGCTTATTGCAAGTATTGAAAAGAATTAACCCCTATGAGGTACCCAGATCCTGTTTTGTGAGTGTGGCTTGAAATTTTGTTCACCCCTAAGAGGTACCAATTCTAAAACAATACATTATCTCCTGTCATATTCTTTTGGCTCAATGCCCTAAATTAAAAGATGCCGCAAAACCTCCCGCTGTGGACTTTTTAGGGCTGAACACCTTAAGAGGTACCAAAAACACTTTATTAAACCCTAAAAGGTACGACAAGCATCCCCATTCTTTTTATGGTTCCCCCCCCCCCCCCCAAACTGGGCTAATGGCTCCTGTGCCAAAATTTTGCTCTTACAAAAGTTTGACGTCATCTGTGATTCATTACTGAACAGCTGCCCAGCAACATGAAATCTATTTGTTAAATAATAGTATATGGAAGTTAAAAGTAGGGGTTTAAGGGTGACTTTTTTTACCATTTGCCAAAATTTTGTCATGTATGCCTCTAGGTGTGCAGGGCTCAAAAAAAGTGCTGTCCCATTGCCCCGGACAAGTAGATTTTCCTTCTGGGCAAGTAACTTTACATTCTCACTTGCACAATGGGCAAGAGACCAAGCAAGTCATCTGCCAACTAAATCATTAAAAGGGCAAACTAAGACTTGCCATGGGCAAGCAAAATTTGAGAGATACTTGTCCCAAGGGCAAGTTGGAATTCAAGTTTTTTTCGAGCCTTGGGTGTGGGGGTATTTCCTATAGTCACCTAGTTTTTGGCCCAGGGGATGGGAGTTTGAAAAACTGAAACTTCAAAGTTCAAATGCCTTGAGGTTTCCTATGGTGGATTCTATAGTGGAACCTTGTTAATCTGGTCACCAATGGACCACAAACATCTGGTCATGTTAACCAATGGGGTGGCCATATTGAAGGGGTTCTCTAAATATAAAAATGACTGATTGCGCTTTTGTTTGGGCCAGAATAAAGACGCCATAATAATGAGGTGGCCATATAAATGGGGTGGCCACAAGACGGGGTTCCACTGTAATTGATTTGCACACAAAATCTACCCACCCACCTATCCCCTAATTCAGTTCGTCTTTCCAGCTGCGTCCAGCCGGGAATTCGACTGATTAAGAAGCTGAGCTTTTAATTAGCCAAACAATGCATAATTTACGGTTAGTCTGAGTACACGAAGATATAGGTTTGGCTCATAAACTGGCTCTGAACTGGATCTTAGGTACCGGTACACAAGAACCGATACAATGTAAACAAAGAAACTAGCTTTTGAACCTGTAGGTGGCAATATCTGTAGAGTATACACAAACTTACTTTTCCAGATGTACTGACTCCCACTAATTTATCTTGCATTATTTCCATCACATTTTGAGAGGTAGAATGAACAAAGTTTCCACGGAAAACATACGAGCACTTTTTGAACTCGTATTTGTCCGCCATGTTGGATTCTTTTCTCGTCCTCCGCCGTTGGTCTGTGTAATATTGATACGTTTTTCCTCTTAGAGTGGACAAATAATACAGGTATATAACCACGTCTACACGCCACCCATCTGAATATTAGGGCCTTTCGCAATTTACTCCCCAACAGGGACAAGAGGGACAACTGGCATTCCAAAATGGCCAAAGGACCTGGGAT